TTTAGGCTCCAAAATCTCTTCATCATTTTCCTTCGGACGGAAGGGATCTCGTTTTGCATCTAGCGATTGAACGACAATAGAAGTACTCGAAGGCTTCGCTTTATCCTCGTTAAAATGACGCAACCTTCTGGGTGTAGTTCGATTGATGTACTAAGATTCCATCTGAACATTGCTTTATCTTGAGACTGAGACAGTATCAAGTGTTTCCTAAATCTTTCATCTTAAATTTCAACTTTAGGTGTGCGGTAGTTATTGCGAGCTCTTTAGGAGTTTTGATGAGATTCATGTCATCGACATCGGCAACTATCACAAAATTGGAATGTGACTTCTTAATGAACACATAAGGGCATAGTTCGTTGTTCACATATCCCTGACTAGTCAAATACTCACTCAGACAGTTATACCACATTCTTCTGACTAGTGACGGGAAAACTGTCTCATAGAAATGACAATCCACAAAATGAGTGGTAAACAAATCGTCTATCAAAGGTTCTAAGTAGCGAGTAATCGAAAGAGAATCATATCCGATATAGATTCCCATTATTCGCTGAGGCCCCATTTATGTACGTAAGGGTTACGAAATCGACACATAGACCGCATAACCAAAAATGTGCATATGCGATAGTCGGGTTCGTATCAGATAACCAATTGAAGGGTGCTATATGATTATGTCGCAAAAGGCCTCAGGCGGACCAACATGGCTGCGTGCAATATTGCATGGCCCTAAGCAACAATCAAGAGCTTGGCACATATGACCAACGATCAAGCAATCATTTGTAAGCGCTTAATGAATGCCTTTGCCAGGGCGTTCTGGATGTGAATATGGGGTATTGGATGTTCAACTTCAATCTCAATTGACATGCAATAATCATCAAAAGTTTTGGATGTAAATTCTCCAACATTACCCAATCGAATAGATTTGATCGGATAATTAGGGTGGTGAGCCCTAAGCTTGATAACATGAGCCAACAATTTGGAGAATGTAGCGTTCCTTGTGGGCAACAAGCATACATGTGACCAACGTGTGGAAGCGTAAACCAAAACCATAAAATATCTAAATGGTCTGCAAGGAGGGTGAATCAGTCCACAAATGTCCTCCTGAATCTTTTGTAGAAAAATAGGAGGATTCAAATCAACCTGAGTCATAAGAAGGCTTAATAATAAGCTTTCCCATAGAACAAGTTTGACATGCGATTCCTTGAATCGAACTTAAACTTCGGGTTAATGGATGCCTGTGTGATGATTTAAGGATACAGCGCATCGTTATTCATCCAGGGTGTCCCAAATAATCATGCCAAAGTGTAATTTCTTGTGCGGTCCCAGAGGTAGGGTTGCCATATATTGGTTTTCTACAGGGCATATGGTCGTAGTATACATACCACTTGGGATAGGCTCCATCTTCTTTAGAATACATTTTTGGCCATATTCGTAGGAAGTTATGCACAGAAATTCAACTCCGTTTTCTACATAGGTTTCAACATGGTAATTATTATCTCTAATGTCCTTGAAACTCAACAACGTTCTTTTGGAATGCAGAGAATAAAGTGCCTCCTCAATGGTCAAAATTGAACCATTGGACAACATTATACGTGTCTTACTGTATCATCGATCAAGTTGGATGGGCCTGAGAAGGTTGTCAGAGGTGCATTCTTAGGTATGAAGTTAGTGAAATAGATGCATTCATGCAAAACAATGTGTGTGGTTACACTATCTGCCAGACAACTAAATTTCCCACTAGTCATACCTAGAATAAAAATTAATTTGAATCGGTCACATGCATAAAAGTTCTAAAAAAAAATATCCATTCAAAATAATTTTAAGTATTCAAGGATGCTAATTAATAAAAACTTAATATCCAAAAAACAAATCTCCAACAAATAATCCAAACATAAAGGAAAATTGTTCAAAATTTAACCAAAAACACAAGGGGGGTTCAGCCACTAGGTGGAATTCGACCCTAATGTCTAAATTTCAACTAGAAAAATAGTTTGTCTAAGATTCTAATCTTCCATAAGGGTAACGGCCTCTTGAAAGTTAGAAACCTCCAGCTTGGTACTCTTCGGTTCGTCCACTTTCATAAAGTTTGATTCAAACTTCTTGAGACGACAATGATATTCAGCTACAACCTTTTAGGGAGCTCATTAAACACGGGACCAATGGTCCTTTAAAACACAATGATAACACATATCCACATCCATGGTTTCGGGTGCTTTGCCCTTATTCTTGAAGTTTGGGGCATTGGTAGCGAGGTTAAGGCATTTCTGGGCTTTGTTTCCTTCTTTAGATGGGCCTTGGCTCTATTGACCTTGTCAGTGTGGCTTCTGGACGCCCCTACCACGCCTCTTTTGATGTTTTGGGCGTTGGTTTATGCTGTAGTGTGCTTCAGGCACATCAGTCGCCCCAGTAGGTCGAGCTTGATGATTTTTCATCAATAGCTGATTCTGCTTTTTAGCGAGAAGTAAAACAGAAATCAAATTTGAAAAACTTAGTGAACTTTTTAGCTCTATATTATTGCTGAAAGAAAATATTAGTAGCAGAGAATGTTGAATAGGTATTCTCTAGAAGATCATTTTCAGTCAAAGTTTCGTTACAAAACTTGAGAAGTGATTGGATTCGACAAACTTCAAAATTATATTCATTCACAAACTTAAAGTCTTGGAAGCACAAATCCTGCCAGTCATGTCTTGCTTCAGGAAAGAAGATGTCCTTTTGGTGATCAAAATGATCAGCCAAAGCGGCCCATAGTGCTCGTGAATCCTCCTTAGCAAGATACTTGGTTTGCAGTGCGTCATGAATATGTCTTTAGATTAAGATCATGACAAAGACTTTCTTAGCTTCACCAACTAGGTTGTCCATCTCATCTTCAATGGCAGGACACAAATTCTTTGCAGTGAGGTGGAGCTTCACATCTTAGACCCACTTGAGATAGTTTCTTCCAGAGACCTCTAAAGCGGTGAAGTCGAGTTTGTTCAAATTCAACATGTTCCTATTACAAAATAGATGGACTAGATGTGGTTAGTGTAATGGAGAAAAAATCAATCCATTCACATAGGAGTAGAACATTCAGGTTTTAATAGACATGTATTGGTTTAAATTCGCATGAAAAACTTCGGGTTTTCATGGGTGATGTTTTTAAGGAAAACTTCAGGTTTTCAAACAAGACATGTTTCTAGAAACTTCAGGTTTCGAAATAAGTATGAACTTTAGGTTCATATGTTCCTGCAAACAAACACAAATATATATACAAAAATATGTAACAAGAAAATATGCAAATAGAACTTCAGGTCTATAATTATAATTGAATTAATTATTTGGACTTCGGGTCAAATTTAAAATGTGGGTGAAAAATTATAAAACCCAAATTGTCTAAAAAAAATAAACAATTAAGCTCAGGGCCCGAAAACATGGGCCAAAGCCCACATGTGGGTTGAGCAAATTGGAACTGTGTGGTCCAAGCCCAAACTTGGGCTGGAATGGGCGGATCAGGCCAAGGGGGTTCAGGCCCAATGTAGTAAACGGACTACCAAGGAAAAAACGGGGCCCAAAATAGGCCCAGGCAAGGGCACTAATCCAATGTGGCATGGTGCACATGCACCGATGGACCAGCTACAGGCTGGGATTGTGTGTGGCGCGAGCAGATGAACCCGAGAGGATGCAATCCAGTGCGTCGCAGGACACGGGGAAACCATAGTTACGGGCTGGTGTCGTTTGCGGGCCTAGAGTCTAATTCAGCTCAATAAGCTGTTTGGAGTTGGATAGTGGTAGCAAAGGCAAACAGCAAGCCCAAAAAAGGTGCTGTACGATGTAGGCCTGAGGGTTCGAGGCCTACTAGGGCTTGGGTCTGGAAACCCAAAACACCCTAGCGGCGCAGGGTGTTGGTTTTGAACCGGAAAAAGCTCTGGCATTGCTTTAGGTGACTTTCCTCGGGTGGTCACGGCACGGCGATGCACGGGGATTTAATTGGGAACCCTAGGTTTGGACGGAAAAATCAAGTTTCAACATTGGGGGGGGGGGGTCTGAGAAACCTTTGAGGATTCGAAGAATCCGTCGAGAAATTCAACGATTTCTATCTGTTTTTCTGAGAAAAACTCATTGTCGCCGACGATGGTTTGGTCTGAAGCACAACTGCAGGTTGTGATTTCCCATGGAAAATGGCGATGAGGCCGTGACCGACTATGGGCGGCACTGGGTCGTGGGTTTGATGCCAAAACGGTGTCGTCTTAGATGGAGCATGGGTTCGGCTCCGATGCATTGCAACCTAGAGATGCTCGCTTGAGCTTGGGTTGTGTCACATGTCATGGGTTTGAAGAACCCTAAGAGTTTCCGATTTTTTTATATTTTTATATTTTTATTTTTTATAATTCAATGCATATTGGCAAGTAATTTTAATGAATGAACATATATTTGATGCAATTCATGGCAAATATCAAATTCACATAATTCAACAATTATGAATATAATGCATACACAATTTATGTAGAATCTAAAACTTGAAAAATGTAAAGTTGGGTCATGCATTATGGTGAATGTTTATGCTATCACGGCTGCAAAAATATTGAGATAAAAATCGTTGTATTTGGAAGAACCTGATTGTGTGATGATATTGATGAACTGGTTTGATGTAGAAAGCTTCCACGTCAAATTCCTAAGTACATCGGTATAAGCGTGCTGATAATGTGTTGTGGCCTATATTTAACTGACAGGGGAAGAGGGGCCGGTGGCTTAGAGAAAGAAAATAGAGAGAGATGTGTTTGTAGGATTGTAGAAGAATTTGTATAGAGGATGTCTTATCCCCCTCATACAATGCCTTTATTTATAGTAATAAGAGAGAGAAGAAATCATTTTCTTCCAAAGAACAAAGAATAACTAAAATCAAATATAATGTGTGATTTACACAATCATACTTAAACTAGAAGTTTATAACAAAAACAAATTATTGTAAAGAAAAAAATAAGTTAAATGACAAAAAAAAAAAAAAAAAAAAAAAAAAAAAAGAAAGGGAACGAGGAACAACCCGAAAGAAAGAAAGACACTATTTCACTCTCAAATTGAGGAAGACTGAATACGAAGAGAAGCTCCCTCCATCATCGGCCCGCCGCCGTCAGCCACTCTCTTGTTTTTCCTTTCGAATTTCTCCACCTCCATTTCTTCTTCTTATTTCTTCAGCTCGCTCCTTTGCCGTCACCTCTCCCTCTCCCTCTGCTTCCACCTCACGGTGATGAGTAAGTATCCAAACTGATTTCTCTGAATATTTTCCTCTATTTGTTTCGTTGATAGGATTATGGTTATGGAATTTCAAATTTAAGGTTAGGATTAATGAGGTTTTAATTAATCAATTTCTCTGTTCCTCAATTGATCTTAGGGTTTGTGTATTTGTTATAATTTTGGGATTCATATTTTGGGTCAATTGATGTAGGATTTGCTAGAATTTTTTATATTTTTGCCCGAACGTTGAAAGGATTGTTTTTGACGATGAGAAAAATTAAATTGATATGTCAATGATATGATAGTAGATATAGTCTTCTTAGTATATGTCTATTATATCCATAAGGTGTTACACGGCACGCATTTTTGTTGTTGTTTAAGCATGTAAGTTTTTATTCATGTAATTTTCATATGATACGCATATCTGGGTTTCATGCTTGGTTTCGGAACGAACTTAGTAAGAAAAAAATGATAGTAGATCTACCAGTTTGATGTATCTGAATTTGGTATGCCCTCTATTGACAAAAGACGTTTTTGGTTTCCCACTATAGGTTCTTGGTTTCTCTGTTATACGCTCTTGATTGATGTTAAAAATTGATTTTGTCAGAAAAGAAAAAATTGATAATTTAGCTACCTGATATAATTATTATAGTTTTCTGAATGAATAGGAGTGCACAAAAATGGGAATATAATTATCGGCTGATTGTTGGATAACAGGCAAGTCTTTGTTGCATGTCAGTGCTTCGGGTTTTGCCCTCTTTGAGTTCAATTATTAAAGATTTGATTTTGGATGTTTTTAATAGAATGTAAATAAACTATCCAATTCTGAGTGTTCATGATGAGATTGATCGGTAGATTGAGATTTCGTGCTTTATTTCATCCTGATGACCTTAATCTAATATTTGGGTGTTGTTCATCTGTGGCCTAAGGCATTGAAGGCTGCTGTTGCCAACAGTGTCCTTTGGGTGATTTTCTTGTAGTAATTGTAGGATGGTTTGAAGAACCGAAGGCCGTTGATTTGGAGTAATGGGTAGCAGTGAGATGGACAAACCCTCTAAAGAGAAAGAGAAGGAGACAAAGACAACACCTGCTAGTACGCAGGTCCATTTGTGTGTCCTTTTATTGTCTTTGTTATGATAATTTGAGGCCCTCTCATACTGGCAGTTAGCAAAGAGCTTTAATGTTTTTTTATTTTTTTATTTTTTTATTTTTATATTTTTTTAAAATTCAAATATGCAGGAGCAGTCTGCGACTACCAGTGCTGGTGCTGTTAATCCTGAGTGGTCGGGATTTCAGGTTACAATGTGAAAAGCCTTAGTTTTTGGTATTTCTGTTTCGTTTAAGGTATCTTTGGAATTTATTGCGGGTAGTTGTTTGTTCAACAGGCATATTCTCCAATACCTCCACATGGATTTATGGCTTCAAGTCCGCAAGCTCACCCCTATATGTGGGGGGTTCAGGTATATTGGTGCCTATAAGACTTTTTTTTTTTTTTTTTGGTTTAATCTTGATTCATGATCAACGAAAAAAATTCCTGATTATTCAACTTTGGACTGCACTTTGTAAAACATTTGACTTTTATGTTATTTTTTACTCAGAGGCTTTTGGACATCTAGAGTTGCGAGCTGTGGGCAGTATAGTGGGAACTTAACTAAACATCTGTTATTTTTTTACAAATCATTTGGAAAGTGTTAACAAACTGAAGACCTGAAGACAGCATTGGTTCATCTGAAAGACCTTGCCTTTAAGATTTTTTTTCAAGTTTCTGGGATATTGAGCACGTTAACAAGAATGGGATACAGATGTAGGAGCATTATGGCTGTGTACTGACTGTCTTTTTAACCACGGGTTCTTGAGAATTAGACTTAGAAAGGATTTTTCTTTAGTTTGATGAAGTAACTTATTTTTCTCTCATTCCAAAACAAAAAACACAAAAAATGAAGTGACTTACCTTTGTTTTTGTATTTTTTTTTTTTTTTTTGTCTATTTCCTAACAGTCTACAATTTTGATTTTTTTTTCCTCTTGAAGTTACAAAAGGACGTGGGTAATGGTATTGAAAGTATTGTTGAAAATGGGACTCAATTTTAATTCTTTTGATGCTTCAAACTTGCAAACGGGCTGATAACTGGTTTATTTATATTAACAATGTCTAATTTTCAGCATATTATGCCACCCTATGGTACCCCTCCGCACCCATATGTTGCAATGTATCCCCATGGTGGCTTATATGCTCACCCGTCTATGCCTCCTGTAAGTTTTTGTCTATTTTGCTTCAGCTGAATTACCAGTCTCTAGCCTCATTTTCCAGATGGCGCTAACTCTTGATGCCTTGCTCTAATTTTAAACAGGGATCTTATCCTTTTAGCCCGTTTGCTATGCCTACTCCAAATGGTATTGTAGAGGCTTCTGTAAGTTTCTGTCGCTACACCATTTGTTGCTTAAGATAAGGTATTTTTCCATTTGAGTAGATGAGATAGAATTTAAATTTAGGGTAACACACCTGGGAGCATGGAAGCAGATGGTAAGCCATCTGAGGTCAAGGACAAATTACCAATAAAACGATCAAAAGGAAGCTTGGGCAGTTTGAATATGATTACAGGGAAGAATAACGAGCTTGGCAAAACATCAGGAGCCTCTGCTAATGGAGTTTATTCCAAAAGGTAACTGATAATGTTTAGTGCCTATTGGCCTTTATATCAGGGATTCCAGCTGTCCCCTTACTGAAATATTTGGGTTTAAAACACTTTGGATGGAAAGGGAAAAAGATCGGGAGATCAAAGCCATCTATTTGATCAACTATGTGTGTATCTTTTGTCTATTCCAATTTATTCTGTGAAAGTGATCGTGAAGGAAATCATTTTTGCATAGATGCTTGTTGTAGCTCATAATGTCTAGTAAGGATTGGATCCTTATTATGAAATCAAATCTAGGTCAGAGCAGTTCAGGCCAAATATGGTGTCTTTCCTCGGATCTGTCATTCTTATACCATGTTTTCACATGTTAATTTTGGTAATGCTTGAATATACTGTGGAAATGCAGTGCTGAGAGTGCTAGTGATGGTACAAGTGAAGGAAGTGATGCAAATTCTCAGAGTGTAAGTTCCATGCTGTTGAAGTTGAATATTTGGTTGTTTATTTTATTTGAGCTAGATAAACTGGCCCTCATGTTGTTTATATTGAGCCTATTGTATTGAACGGCTCTTGATTTTTTTTCTTCCTTGCAGTTTTTTGTTAAGAAATAATTTTTATGCGTGCTGCTTCTGTTTTCCATCATATTTTCATTACTTGTGTAGGATTCACAATTGAAGTCTGGGGTCAGGCAAGATTCTTTGGAAGGTTTGATTATATTATTTTCTGAGGCTGTTAATCTTTACTTAAGAGATTTTACTAAGAATTTATATGGCCTTATTGCAGGTGATGTATCTCAGAATGGCAGTTCTGCACATGGTTCTCAAAATGGAGCACCAAACACACATACCATGTTGAATCAGACGATGGCCGTCACACCAATAACGGCTGCTGGTGCTCTTGGCGTTGTTCCTGGTCCTGCAACTAACTTAAATATTGGGATGGATTATTGGGGAGCTCCACCTTCTGCCGCCATGCCTGCAATGCGTGGGAAGGTTGCAACCACTCCAGTATCAGCAGGAATAGTTACTGCTGGGTCTCGGGATAGTGTTCAGTCACAGCTTTGGTTACAAGTAATATTTGCCCCTGTGTTTTAAATTCAATCTCTTTTCTTCTTATCAAGTTTTTTTACGTGCTCTTAGTTAATCTGCTTTCCGTTAAGAGGTAGTTTATAGATCTTATTAAAAAAGGAAGAATATTCACTTTGAGAATGCAAAGTGATGGTTACATTTTTGTGTTGCATAAATTGCATTCCATGTGAAAATTGGTATTTGTGCATGCTTTCTTAGCATTTAGGCTATCAATAGAATTTTGAAACAGTTATATCTTGTGGCTGTAGGACTGTAGATGGACGTTGTTATATGAAAACATGGTGTAGTTAAGTCAATTGAGTTTATAGTTAATGCGTAAAACAAATTTTCATTGCTTCTGAAGAAAGCTATAACCACCTAGGGCATCTGCATGGATTATTTTTCCGCAGTTATTCTGATTTTCATGCTTATTTGGAAGCGTAGTGCTATCTTCACACCTATTTTTACTTCTCACACCATTCTCAATTTCCGGCCATTGGATCGAATGAAGTGAAGAAGACCAATGGCCAAAAGTTAACAAGGGTGTGTGGGAGGTAAAAATGAGTGTGTGAATAGCAATATCCTATTTGGAATTGCATTCTGGCTTTCTTCTCATCTGAATTGCTGTTAACATGAACCATGTTAAGATTAGCAAGTCCACTAGTCAAGTACTTGTTTTTATTTCTGATTGCTATTACCTCTATTATGACTTAGTAGTCCACTATACTTGTTTTGTGGCTATAACCTACACATAAACGCGGTGTTCTGATTCTGGATGTGTGCTCTATAGTAAGGGGATGCAATATGTATGTAATTTTTAAAGAAATCCCTTACTTCATACATATTCGAGGTAATTAGAGATGGATGCTCGACAACTAGTTGTTTGCATGCCCATATGTAGTTTTGTCAATAGGCACCGTACTTGTTAATTGCATGTTGCAAGGTTGGTGTCCTTCATAGGTTTCTCCTCAGATACATGATGTAGGATCACCCTTGTTTTGGGCTGTCACCAGAAATTGGAGGGGCGGTAGATTCTAGGGTCTAATCTTAAGGTGTATGGTAAAAAACAGTGTAGTAAGTACTAATGTAAAGGGTGGGTAGCTCATTAATGGCCGACAAATACTTGTTCGTGTTCTGGGCTGGGAAGCCGTAATTTAAGAACACTGTTTTGGTTATTTTCTGTACTTTGTGTAGATTTTGATGATTGGCACTGAGAGTTTGTCGGATATGACTTTTAAGTTGGATTGGGAATTGGTGAGTGCAGTCTAGGGATGGGTTACATTGAAGAATAAGGCGCTGCTTGATGAATGGCTTTTTCTGATTTCCTCTGGAAAGGGAGCCATTGTGGCATAAGGTAACAATTACGAAATACAGGTGGAGAGAACAGTTGGGATGCTAGTGTAGAGACCAAAGGGGTCTGATTCAATCCTTGGAAGGACATGTCTGAAATAAGAATTGGCCAAATAGAGTAACTATTTAACACCCAAACAAGAAATAATATAGGTTCATAACTGGACTAATTTAAAATCAGATCACAAGCTAGTATGAAGTAGTACCAAAATGAAGGAAAAAAAAACCTGTGATACATAAACTACAAAAATGCCTAAAACAATAATAGTCAAATAAGACTGGTCTGTCCAAATATTATCAATCCCATTATAGTACATTACCAAGAAATCTTCCTTACATTGCCCTTGAAAGTTTGATGTGTGCAACCAACATCATTCGCACAATATCTATCTTTTCATTTTTCCTCATTTGTTTTTGTGGTTCGGTCATTTATGTTGATGGAGCAAGGAGTACGAGTAGCATTTACCCAAATTATAAAGGATATGTATGATGGAGTAAGGACTACCATAAGAACTCATGAAGGACAAGTAGAAAGCTTTCCTATAACTGTAGGGTTACATTGAGGCTCATCTTTAAGTCCTTACCTCTTTGTATTGGAAATGGATGAGTTAACAGGACATATCCTAGATGATATTCCTTGGTGTATGCTTTTCGCAGACGATATAGTATTGATAGATGAAACTCAAGAGGGAGTAAATGTGAAGCTGAACCTTTGGCGGGAAGTGTTGGAATATAAAGGTCTTTGCCTAAGTAGGTCAAAGACAGAGTATATGGAGTGCAAGTTCTGTGGGAACGGAGGTCCAAATGAGTTAGGGGTGAGGATTGAAGATCATGAAGTACCAAAGAGCGAACACTTTAGCTATCTTGGATCTATCTTGCAAAAGAACAAAGAATTGGATGAAGACCTCAATCATAGAATGCAAGTTGATGATGAAGTGGAAGAGTGCATCGGGTGTGTTGTGCGACCGTTGTATGCCACTAAAGCTGAAGGGAAAATTTTATAGGATGACAATAAGGCCAGCAAAGCTTTATGGCACGAATGTTGGGCGGTGAAGCACCAACACGTACACAAAATGAGTGTAACAGAGATGAGAATGCTTTGTTGGATGTTTGGGCACACGAGAAAGGACAGGATTAGGAACGAGGACATCCGAGGTAAATTGGGAGTGGCCAAAATTGAAGATAAGATGAAAGAAATTGGTTAGAGTGATTTGGACATGTGAAACGAAGACCTACAGACGTTCCGGTTAGAAGATGTGATTACAAGACAGAGGCTTAGGGCCAAAGGGGTTGAGGAAGACCTAGGAAGACTTTGAAAGAGATTCTAAGAAAAGACTTGGACTACTTGGATCTAATGGAAGACATGGCACAAAACCGAGTGCAGTGGCGTTCTAGGATTCATATGGCCAACCGCACTTAGTGGAATTACGCTTTATTGTTGTTGTGGTCATTTTTGACCTACAAAATTCCTACCCCATAGAGCATCTAGACTCCAATTTGTTTTGCAGGTGGATTACATATTTGAGTTGAAAGTGTCATGTATGATATTTCATTGATGTTATGATTACTAGCATGGTAGATGTTTCTATTAGTTTCCAGTGAACTTGTATGTATTTTTGAGTGAATGCTGAATTCCCGTTTTGGGCGAAATTTTGTGGTATGTGTTTAATATCAATGTTCTCAGATTGTGTCAGACTTACGGAGAGTATCTAGCACGTTTTCAAGCTCCTCTTTGTTTTTCACTTCACCACATTTTTAAGCACCCTCACCTCTTGTTTTTTGACTCAGGATGAGAGAGAGCTTAAAAGACAGAAAAGAAAGCAGTCAAATAGGGAATCCGCTCGTCGATCTAGGTTGCGCAAGCAGGTAATTTTCTCCCACTACTTGGCACTGTTTGTACCATATGGACTCATCTGATGTATATGCATGATTTTGAATTAGGCGGAATGCGATGAGCTGGCCCAGCGTGCTGAAGCCTTAAAAGAGGAAAATGGCACTCTTAGATCAGAAGTTAACCAGATCAGGAGCGAGTATGAGCTGCTTCTCTCAGAGAATGCCTCTCTAAAGGTAACGTTTAATACTTGGTTTGTTTTAGTACATATTATTTCAAAGAAAAAGAGATTATATTACCAGCTAATTCCCATCCTGCCTTAAGGCGCAAAGGATCTGTTGAATTTTCGCTATAATTTTTTTTTTGTAATTTATTTGTTTTCAATCAGTACAGTCCCAATTACTAGAAATTGTTCTAGCAAGCCTTGATTTAGGATTGCTTTGATCCAAAACAGAGTTTGCCAACATTCGTGATCTTGATAGTTTTTTCATGTATTGCATTGCAAGCGACAATTGAATTCGACACAGATGTTTTCATGTAAACTCTCAAGTAATTAAAATTTTCATTTAAAATGCCTGGTCACATTCTAACTCCTTATAACATAATTGATTGGATAAGCCTCGGGGGTAAGTGATGCACTATCAGTCTGATCCAGATTCTAGTTTCTTCATTTCCCATAGCAATGTGTGGATCCAGACTCCAGATATCTGTCTTGGTGGGAACTTGAATGGAAATGTTATTTTGATTAGGGAGTCCCATGTTAAACCGGACGTGCTACTTTCTACAGGAGAGGCTTGGAGAAATTCCTGGTCACGAAGATGTACGGTCTGCCAGAAGTGAACCACATTTGAGCAATGACACTAAACAGATTGCACAAACAGAACGGCATGGCGGCCTCTAGGATGAGTAGCTGAGCTTTGTGCTGCGTTCTTGCAGGAGCACAATCTAACCTATAAGCAACAGGGAGTTTATTTTGCATAGCGTGTAGTTTGACCTTTGTCCAAGTTTTAACCTTTTATATTTTAGGAGATGTTTACGCGATGCAGATCATATTTATTTCTGCTTGGGCCTACCTTTAAGAGTTGAAGGCCGAAGATGATATGTCTTGAGTATGAAATTAATGTTATACCCTTGTTTGTTTCTTAAGGGTAGTCGCATTCACACTTAAATTCATTTGTATTGAATTATGGCCGATGAATCCGTAACTTGGGAGATTCATTCAGTATATGCTACTCTCTAACACAAATCTTGATCCGTAAACTGGTTTATTTCTATGTTTACTCTCTAACAAAAATCTTGATCCGTAAAGTGTTTTGTTTTTTTTTTTATTATCTTTTTCTTTTGTTGTACCTTTTTTTTTTTTTGTTTTTGGTTATGTTTACCATTTCTATGCTGGTTGCATTAGGCATGTTGAAGTCAACAGGAACTCAAGTAGGGATGGGCATAAAAATTGTGGAACCATAAAATCAAATCGAACTGTGACAAAATAAACCGTAAAAACTTGTGTTGACGAAAAGTCATCGTTCAGGCCGGTTCTTTCATCTTGGCGAAACCCGCCAGAACCAAATCGTGAATATAATTAATGAATTAAATTTATTAGTTCCATCTAGGTGCACTAAATGGGTTTTCAAAACCAGATTGGTTTCTACTAGTGCAACTGCATTTAAGACCATTTCTCGTTTAGGTTTCACCTAGTGAGGCAGCCTCGCTCCTTCGAATTCGATCATTCCTGAATCCTTACTTTTCCTTAGCGTCTATGCCTCACTCAGTCGCTCATTCTGACACACCCCAACCTTAGGAGGTCAGAGCATGCTGGCCGTCACCGTAAGGTGATGTAAAAGATGAACAAATTACACAATAACGATACTTGGCAATATAAGCGTAAAAGTGAAGCAAATACACATTTATGGAAAATATAATTATGTATAGGTATAAAAACAAACTGCCCCACTCACAATTACGCCGTCGAATCATAGCCCCCGAGCCTTGCCTGACCCCTTAAGTCCTCGGGATATGTTTCCCCTATATGTGAAATAACTATATTTAAATTAATTAAAACACATATACATAAACTTGAATAAAACCCCATAGTTTGCTCAAACCTAGGGTTTAAATACATGAAATCGATATACTCGACGTCATGGACCTACACAAATTTTCAAAATAATTTTTGGACACAAAACGCGCCCTCACACGCCGGCCAAGGCACAGCCATACGCGCCACCACGCGCAAGCAGAGCTAACGAAGGCCTAAAGGCTGTTAGGAATATTCTGTTAAATCCCTAACAAAAGTTAACGGCATTACCTGACGTTGTTAGAATATTCCGTCGTCTTCTCCAGTGGTCCTCACCAGTCGACGCCGTCTGAAATCGCTGGAAACTAGAAAATTTTCAAACCTTCATATCTTCTTCATTTCTCAACCATTTTTCACTAAATTTATATGGAAATGAAGCTTATGAAGAATAGAATCGTGTTATACCTTTTTGGAGTCCAAAAAGTGGATGGAGATAGCCTGAAAATGCCTCGAAAGGTACGGCCAAAACTCAACTCTACGAAACCTCGAGTTTTTGACGTCAACTCCTCACCAAAACTAGCCTAGGAGTCTCAGGGAGTTGTAAGAGAGCCTCCCTGACCTTCAAACCTCCTCGACTCGGCATGACAACGTTGAACTCAAACTCATTGAGTTCCGACCTTTCGCGTTCGACGTCCAAAATTCGCTCAACGCGTGATCCAGTGGTATGCTTGTGTTCGTGGAGCGGAGATGAACACGATGGTGGTGATTTTGGTTTACGTTTATGAGGTTTGGTGTGAGTTTGAGGGTGTTGCAGAGTGAGAGAGCTCGGTGAGGAAGAGAGAAGAGAGAGATAGAGCTTTCTGAGTTTCTGATTAGTAACTGGTGAGGGAGTGATATGATTGGTGGCTTTTGAAGAGAGAAAGTATCTGATTGGGTGGTGAAGACAGAAACTGGGAAAGGAATTGAGGAGAGTGATTGGTGGAAAGTGAAGTTAGCTTGTTGTTGATTGGGGAGACACGGATCTGGTTTTAAAAGAAGAAATGGATGGGATTTTTAGATTTCCTACTGTAGAAGCAATTCAGAAAATCTATTCGAATCAGTATTTCTAACACCGATGAAATTAACGTACACTCGTAACAACGAGTACAATTTAATTACGATTGTGAGAATAATAATTTAAGAACGAACAAATACGTCCACGTCACTTGCCAACAAAAGTATAAATGTCAATTCACATATTCGGAAAGAAATTACATAGAAAATTAGGGACGAGTCGTCACAACTTCGATCCTTCCTCCTCCCTCTTGACTCGAGATCATAGTGTGTGTGCCTCAATCCTCACCTCGAGTTTGAGTGTTCCGCTTTCAGTCTTCGTCCGTTGTCAGCCCGCCATCCTTGATTCCACCTCGTCGAGCGAACCCTTGCTTCAGTAAAATCATGTAATCCATTTTTGAGATTTTTCAATTTTAATGTGTTTTGATTTTTGGAATTAGGGATTTTCAGATTGAGCTTTATTTCTAGAGTGAGCCTATTGTTGAGCCTGATGTTGGAGTGAGCCTATTGCGAGATGGGTAATGCTATTTACATACTCTTTTTTACTTCCTACACACTTGTTAATTTTTATCCATTCTTTCGATCCGACGGTCAAAAATTGAGATGGTATGTAAAAAGTAAAAATGAATGTGTAGATTGCATCACTCTTGTAGAATTACCGATTTCTGGGATTAGGGATTTTCCAGAGTTAGCCTATTGTTGAAATCGACTAATATCAAGCACAAAAGTTATCATTTGAAAAAAACCAAAGTATAAAAGTTATCAGTACAATACAGTAATATGGTTTTTTTTTTTTCTTTTTTTTTTCCTCCAAATTAGGGATTTCCAGATTAATGTGTTTTTATATTGATATGTTGCTATGTATGATGATGTTTTTCTATGATTTGGGATTTGTTGTTTGTTCTATTTTAGGGATGACAAATCAATCAAAATCACACATGATTTGTTTTGCTTGTAACTTTGTATAACCATTTTAGAAGACGTATTTGAGTGCAAGCATGAAAAAAAACAGTAAAAAACCAATACAAGTAAACTTTGAATACCTTTTTGATTTGGTATTCGAAACAGTAAACTAGCAAGAATCCAACAGTACAGTTTTAGTAATAAATTTAAGCAGAATCGCATCATACCGAACCGTTTGAAATTTTCAATTTTGATTTGATGGTAGAACCGAGTCGAACCACATTGTGCCCACCCCTAAACCCAAATTATATAATGTCACTATTTTGTTCAAATTATAACCGCAAAGTCTCATGCAAATGATACAACACCATGTGAAGAGAAATTTACCAATGTCATTGACAGTGGCCGTGATCTAGGTTTAAGGTCCTGTTTGGTATTGCATTTTTTCTTTTACCAAAAGCTGCTTCACTCTAAGCAAAGCAATAAAAAAATGTTTAATAAAAATAAAATATCTTTTTTATTTTAAAAACAATATCTCCAAACAATAGCTTTTACATGTTAATTTTATAAAAAATGGAGTTGAGATTTTAATGAATGAGACACATTCATTGCCGTACCTTGTCACTTAAAATATCTTTGGCCACTTTGACCACCCAAAGAAAAACAGAAAATTACCAAACCATATAATTAGGAAACAAAAAATAAACAAGAAAATGTAGACAATACCAACTTCATTTAATCATCGGAAAAGATCATTGCTGGATCCTTTTTGGATCTTAGGAATCTCATGATCGTGATCGTTCATCGTACATCGTGTGGTCAGAAACCATTCAAAACTTAAAATTTAAATTAAATATAAATAGTATCTAACGAAATTGACTACACGATATACAATGAACGGTCATAATCACAGAATCTCTAGAATCCCAGGAAAAGGATCCGGCGAGGATCCTTTTCCTTAACTGTCGGATCCTTTTCCTTAACCATCACACTTGTACCTGTCTCTCCCTCTCTCTTTGGGACATATATAAGCATGAAAAAAATGCAGGTTTCAGGTGTCATTGGCGGCGTTTCATTGTCAATTCCCTCCGGCGGTGATCTCAGGTGGCCAGTATTCGGTCACTTCCATGACCACGTCGACAACCATTCACATCCACTCGTTGATTCCAAGTCATTTCTTTCAGCTGCTTTTTTTTTTTTTTCAGAGTAAGCTCTCTCCTCCACTCACTCATTCATGTTCTGCTGTTGCGTTTGGCTGCTAAGAAAGTGTGAGAAATTTAATTTATAATTATGGTATTAAGTTTTGGTTTCAATAGAGCCTTTCGTTTCTTCGGGAAAGATTGGATATAACCCAGATCAGAAACTTTTCGCTTTCCCTGTCTAGTTACCTAGAAAGTAGAAAGTGTAGAAAAAGAAAAGTTAGAAAGTGTAGAAAAAGAAAAGTTTTTATGTTGTTTTCTGTAATTAGGATCTGAGAACTCCATTTTTGACTTATATTCAAGGGTAAAATTCAATTTATTACCCTCAAATTTCATGATTTTCAACATTTAGTACATGAAATTTTTTTCGTCCCAAAGTCATACCTAAAGTGTTAATTTTGGGACAGTCTCATACATCCGTTAGTTTGACTGTTAAATCTCCTGTTAACTAATGACGTGGCGCCCATATGGACAACTAATGACGTGGCGCCCATATGGACAATGACTGAACGCCACATGTCATTAAGGGATTCACGTGGAAATTAAAAATTCAAAAAAAAAAAAATCCCGCTCATATTTAAAATATTAAAATAATTAATTAAATAAAAGTATTAAAAAAAAAAAAAAACAAAACCCAAAACCCTCTTTGTCTTCCCCACCTGACACCCCTCCATCCCCTCTTCCCCCTCCATGGCTCCACCCCTCCATCCCCAAATTTAAAGTCCCCAAATTCAACGATAGCATGCAGGAGAATCAGCTCTACAGACGAGTCACCGACTATCTCAACTCGCTCACCTCCATTGAAGAATCAGACTTCACCAACCTTGTCACGAGGATATTACCCAATGAAATTGTCCTCCAGCTGGACCCCAATCAGACTATCGAGGATGATTTCCTCGGCGCCAAGGTCATATGGCAAATAGAAAGCAGCGACGCCAGTGGGAGTAGGAACAACAACACATCCACGTCGTCGCCGACAAGCTCAAGCAGAAGAAATGGGAGTTGAAGCTTTACATGAACGTCGATGCGGCCGACAGAGCGTGGAAGCCAGTCCCCTTCACTTACCCATCAAC